AAGAGTTCTGGTTTAGGGTTTAGGGTTTAGGGTTTAGGGTTTAGGGTTTAGTCTGCCCTAAACGCTGGCATGCCTTCAGGCTGCTGCGATGCCCAACCCCTGAACATTATGTAGGGTTTAGGGTTTAGGGTTGCGGGTTTAGAGTTAGGGTTTAGGGTTTAGGGTTTAGGGTTCAGGGTTTAGGGTTTAGGATTTAGGTTTAGGGTTTAGGGGTTTAGGGTTTGCGCAGGGCATTGGGGTGCCTGGGTTTCCATGCAGGGCCAGGCAGCAAACAAACAGGCGCCCAGCAGAATATAGTAGCGACCTCTGAACGTGTGAGGGCCAAGAAGGGGAAACTAAAACACCCCCTAAACTCTAAACCCTAAATCCTAAACCCTAAGCCCTAAACCCTAAATCCTAAACCCTGAGCCCTACGCCCTATAGCCTAAGCCCTAAACCCTAAACCCTAAGCCCTAAACTCTAAACCCTTCTACTTCCTCCTGCAGGCTTCGGAGGCCCGAACCCGAAGCCTAGTCCAATTCCATCTGTGGGGTTTGTGAGGCGAGGCTGCCCGTGACGGAAGCCAAGAAGTAAGTGCTGGCGCTTAGGGTTAAGGGTATAGGGCTCAGGGCTGAGAGTTTAGGGTTTAGGGTTTAGAGTTTAGGATTTAGGGTTTAGAGTTTAGGGTTTAGGAGAGTTTAGGGTTTAGGGTTTTGAGTTTAGGGTTTTGAGTTTAGGATTCAAGGTTTAGTGTCTGGTCATGAAGCACAGCCGGAGAATCCTACAACCCCCAATCCGGGGCTCTTCTTCGGAATTTCGGAATGGGTTCAGGGCTTAGCAGAATCACAAAAGGGGCCGTCAAACCCTAAACCCTAAACCCTACACCCTAAACCCTAAACACATACTATCCCTCTTTGGGTCAAAGGAGGCTCGTAGGATCTGCCCGAATCCTTCGCCCACTTCCAGAAGCATGCTAATAATTACCGATATCATTTTGGGGGTTCGTTTAGGGTTTAGGGTTTCGGGTTTAGGGTTTAGGGTTTAGGTTTAGTGTTTGGGGTTTAGGGCTCCTGACTAGAATTATAGTACAAGGGGCCCCCAAAACCCTATTCCACTTAGTAAGGCTCTGAAACTTTTTGACTGTCAGACTGGCGAGCCGGCAAACGATCATGATGATGGTGGTGGCGTAATATAGGGTTTAGGGTTTAGGGTTTAGGGTTTAGGGTTTGGTGGCATAATATACAGTGGAAGCCAGAAAGTTGGAACATTATTATCCTGGTACCCTTAAGGTGAAATATCAGAGATCCTAGCACTAATCATCCTAAATCCATGTTCCAACTTTCTGGGTTCGCTGTAGGGGCCTTGATAATTAGAATAGGGCTTTGGGGGTTCCTTATCATAATTATTGTATTCTATACCCCAAAACCCTACTAAAACTATTCAGGCCCCTATATTGGGATTTAGGGTTTAGGATTTGCTCATCTGCGGGTATGAGGTATGAGGCCCTTGAAAGCTCACAAACCTCTTCCGGAGGATCAGCGAATCCTACAACGTCCTAGAGTTGAATGCCGCGGCCGGGAAGTGACTTTGCTGTAATCGAGAATGCTGGAGTTGCTACGCCCTAAGCTCTAAACCCTAAACCCTAAACCCTAAAACCTAAACCCTAAACCCTAAACCCTAAAACCTAAACCCCAAACCCTAAACCCTAAACCCTAAACCCGAAACCCCCAGCTGATACAGGTCCTGAGCCGAATATTTCACAAGGGCTCCGCGGGCTCCAGAGGGTTTTTGTTTGTCGTTTGAGGTTCGAGGGTTCAGTCTTCGTCCACGAGCATAGCATAGGCTGATGCGACTCATGTTTCATAAGGGCTTCTCGCCCACTAGCGGGCGGGATGTAGGATGTGGATTGGAGAGTGGAGCCCTGAATAGTTGTGCTATTGTGGTGTAGACGTGCCGCGAGTTTGAACTCTGCATGAGCTTCGTGCGAGGGCCACATATGTTCGACTTCTTGTCGGAGTCTCGAGTAGAGGAGCCCCAAACCCGAAACCCCAAACCCTAAACCCTAAACCCTAAACCCTAAACCCTAAACCCTAAACCCGAAACCCCAAACCCTAAACCCCTCTCCCTCAAGTCCGGTGTCTGGGAGCCTGTAAACCCAACACAGGAGAACCACCCAGAAGGGTGTCGGGTTCTTCAAGGTCGGGTTGTGCCTGTTTTCTTCGACGGATTCTACTCTGAGCGCTGATTGTAGGATCCCTCACTCTTGGCACCCTAAACCCAAAACCCTAAACCCTAAACCCTAAACCCTAAACCCTAAACCCTAAACCCTAAACCCTAAACCCAAATCGCTGCCCCCGAGCCGGAGCCCAAACCCCCGAATCTCCACCAAGACTCCCGACCAAAAGCCTGAGACGCCGCCAAAAAAAGCATGGAAAGCTCACAGTGTCGACCGTGAAGCCCCAAACCCCAGAAACCCTTTAGGGTTTAGGGTTTAGGGTTTAGGGTTTGGGGTTTAGGGTTTGGGGTTTAGGGTTTAGGGTTTAGGGTTTAGGGTTAGTGGGAGTTTCCGAACATAGGGGACCCTGAAATAGTATCCTAAACAGTAGGATCCTTATTATAAGGACCCCAAAATACACCCTAAACCCTAAACCCCTTAATTTTCGGAAACTCCCAAGTGCAACCTAAGATTCCAAAACCCTACAATCCTCGAGCCCTCAGCCCTAAGCTTCAGCCCTATCTCTTAAACTCTTAGGGTTTAATTAGGGTTTAGGGTTTCACCTGAACCCTGACACCTTGAAACCCTAAACCCTAAAACCTAAACCTTAAACTTTAAATCCTAAACCCTCAAGCCTTGAATTCCTAAACCAGAAGCCCGAAGCCCTAGGCCTTAAACTGGATTCGTGTTAAGGAATTCAAATCAAGTTACCACAATAGTATAATAGGTCTATTTGTTGTGGAAGCTTACATGAAATCACCTGAACCCCAAACCCTAAGCCCTAAACCTTAAGCCCTAAGCCCTAAACCCGTAAACCCTAAGCCCTAAACCCTAAACCCTTTTCCAAGAACCCCTCAAATCTCAGACGAAGCCCAGGTTCACTGGCCTCGAAGTGCGGCCCCATCTGCCCGGGGCTCTCTCAACTCTTCCGCAGGGGTTAGGCTTTAATATAGGGGCCTATACTTGGAGAATCATGGGTTTAGGGTTTAGGGTTTAGGGTAGTTATAAGTAGGGTTATAAGTCCCTTAATATGGGTGATAACTATAGTTGCCATAATTACAACCCCACTTACAACTACCCATGAACCTCCAAGTATAATTACCTATACTATTTTGGGGGTTCCTTATTGTGATTATAGTATAGTATACCCCAAAGCCCTATTCTAATTATTGAGGCACCTAAACCCCAAGCCTTGTAGAACCCTCTAAGGAATCTTAAAGGAGCCCCCAAAACCTTAGTAAGGCCCCTACATTAGGGTAACTTCTGGATGTTTCCAGGGCTGTAGGGTTTAGGGTTTAG